AGTGAGGTTCCTCTTTTCTCATAATGGTCAGTTTTGATCCAGTTGTTATATTTGTCATAGCTCGGCTGAGGCAATTTATTTATTAACACCTATCAAAAAAATGACATGGTGGCTCAGTGGCTAAGATGCTGAGTTTGTTGATTGAAAGGTCGGCAGTTCAGCGGTTCAAATCCCTAGTGCTGCATAACGGGGTGAGCTCCCGTTACTTGTCCCAGCTTCTGCCAACCTAGCAGTTTGAAAGCATGTAAAAAATGCAAGTAGAAAAATGTGCCTTCGGCGTTTAGTCATGCCGGTCACATGACCACGGAAACATCTTCGGACAACGCTGGGTCTTCGGCTTTGAAACGGAGATGAGCACTGCCCCCTAGAGTCGAGAACAACTAGCACATATGTGCGAGGGGAACCTTTACTTTTTATCAAAATGATGCCATATCTTGTGGTGAAAGGATGTCCCTTTAAAGAGGAATGTTTATTCCCACTTTTAGAATGAACTGAAAGTATTTGGAAAATAAAAAATAAAAAACAAAGGTATGGTCAAATGTGTGACTGTATTTTATGGACAGAGATAGCCTTGAAAAGATATACAACTCTGTTAGGGAAAATGAACTTTCCTCTGAAAAACAGGAGACTGCAAGGAAGAAATCTGACTGTCTTTAAGAGAGAGGGAAAGAGAAATGTCATCAGGTTGTAAGATTCTGTTATAACCATCATCAATAAAAATGTTATTTTTATCCAGTATTCCTCATGGTGTCTGTTTTCTAACCCCGTCTACCTCAAAGGCCTGACAGTGATAAAGCTTGTGACTATATTCAGATGACAAGTAAAACCTGCTTAGTTTTAACCTTATTGTATAAATCCCATTTCACTCATGTTTCACTTATTGCACAAACTTATAAAACAAAGTTTCCAGGTTAAACATATAAGTAATCAACATATAGCCAAAATAAGAAAGTTCCATGAACAACATCAGAAACCGTAGTTGTGCCTTAAAAAACAACAACTAAAACTAGCCAAAATTCTTCCTATTGTGGTGCTGATTCTATGTGTCGCCTTTGTGATGTGAGTCAGCAATATACTTGTGAATGCTTTTATAAAAAATATTTAAAATGACTGAAATCTGAGAGAGCCAAGACTTGTAGTCTTTTTTTCCCATTTGAGATCTTGGCCTTTTTAAATTTAAAATAATTTACTTTATTGATTAGTAAACACATTGGAATCATTTTTTTTTTCACCTACATGAATAATTGCTATAGGGAATGTTTATATCTTTGTCTTTAAGGAGGACAGAATTTATAGTCACATTATGAGTGGTAAAAATAATCAAACTCTTCTAAGCCTTTTTACTCATGGATGAATGGTTGTGTGTGCAAAATACACTGAAATACTAGTCTATCACTCTGTAGTCTTGCATGTTGTAGATGTAGACATTCAAGCTGGTGCAGGCAACCATGGCAACTGAAGCTCCACCCTTATGGTGTGATGCAAGCTAAGAAGGGGTGGGACTTCAAACCAGTGGTCATGCTTGCTATTATCATGCTATCCACAGCCTTATAAACATCCCTGACTGAAACATATTGAATTGTTATTCCTATAAGCTGTTTTGCACTAGATCAGGCTATTTATTTATAAAGTAGACCACTACTATCTAGCCTTGCTAGCCATTGCTTCAGTTTTCCCCTAGAAGTGTTATCCCCAATTATTACTTAACCCTAATAGTTTGAGATGTTAGTTACAATGCTTGAGATCTGCTTTGCAAAATATGCCCTTGATCTTGAGTTGGAACAGTTTCCTCTCTTGAAGACTTCGCTGCTCCACCATACTGCAATGAAAAACACTCCCTGTATATTAATACATCCATAAAAATAAGCAATGTGTGTGTGAACCATCCTTCATGCTTGACAGGGAAAGGGTTTGGTTATCCTTTATGCAATGAAATGAAGGTGATGCAGTTTAGGTAGCACTTGGACCCCATCACCACCGCTGCATACTGTGGCCACCTCCTTTCACCACTGAAATGTTGCACTGCTATGTCAAAGATCTCTCTGCATGCATTTATGTATTATTTATTTATTTAAAGCTGGCATGTCAGCAGTCAGAGGCAGGGCCCTGAACACGTTGCAGGAAAAAGCATCGGAATCTTCCTTTTATTTTCATCTTGTATAGGTATCTTCTAATAGAATTGTAGGCACAATACCTACTGACTGCATCTGTTTGCCATTTTGCTCCTTGGCCCTGCACCATTAACATTTGACTTAAGAAACTTAAGAAACAAATAAAAGTGTTCTTGTTAGAATCTCCTACACATGTTCTGCTCCATCTGATTCATCCCCAAATGTTGAGACTTACATCTGTATCACACAAAAGATAAAAGAGCCAAACCATATTGCCGCTTAGAAATGTTTCTCTTTGACTTAATCAAATCACTCTCTTTTATGTCAATGTATTTGTCTTTCACATCTTCTTATGATTATGTAACAAAAGGCATGGTATAAAAAATGGCTCTAATATCATGGGAAAAACAACAAAAGCAACATCAAGAAACAGTTGCCACAATACAGACACCAGTATCAAAACTCAGCTAAGCATTTCACTTAGGCTTATATGAACCCTTATAAAAGCCACTCAATCTTAGTCACCAGATCAAACTAACCAGATTTCAAATGGTATTGGTATGAATGTCCATCGCTGTTGGGTTTGGGAACAGATGAGTTGAAGAAAAGTAACAAAGAGAAAATTAAGATTGTGTCTGTATGGCTGAGCCAACTACTTGAGACAATAAAGATGAATAATTATGGGTTCTTATGAGAATGAATCAAGCCTCTACGGCTTTGATTAGACAGACAATACACTTGGGTACCAAATGGACTAAACTCAACTGCAGACAATGTGTCTGAATGCTAGGCCTGCTGGAATAACCATTATCTGTCAAACAGACTCTATATAAATATATACTCTGTTGGGATGGACACTTTGACCAACATGCCCATATCCATGGAAAAGTCCTGGACATATAAATGTACATATGTAGCCTCTTTTAAAATGATATATGTTAGATCTTTTAAAACTGCACTGGCTATTTTCATATAACAAGTTGGCCTACATTAGGCCTAACACAAAACTTAAGTGTTATTCTTGCTTAGGCTTTTTATAGCTTAGCATATTGGGTTGAACCAACTTGTTTAGTTGTCTCCATGTAAAACCAGAAAATAGGTTAATTCAAGAATAAGGTAAATGCAACTAGTCTTTCAAATCTAAACAGGAAGATACGGATTAAAATACTTTCCATAATAAGCCAACAGCAAGGAAGATTATATGGGATAAACAGGGTAGCTCTGTGTAAACTGAACGCTGACTCACAATCTCACCAAAAAAGTGATAGATACAGGCTGAATTGATGTTTGTTTGCCACATGAAATTACTTGAGGCATTCTAACTTTTAAGATAAGGAATAGACAACACTCTTTGAGAAATCAAAGATTTATATTTGGTGTCTCTTTTTATAATTCTACAGAAAGAGAATATGCAGAACTACATTAGTTAGTTAAGGTTAATTATTTCCCACAATATACCTGCATTTCTTCAAAGCAACTAAGGTAGCATTAATGGGTCACTCTTCATTTTTATCCTAACATAATTAGGGTTAAAAGAGTGGGCTACAAAATAATGAGAACAAAAGTCATCCAGTGAAATCCATCATGAACCTGGGGGCCTCTCAGGTCCCAGACCTATACACCTATTTACTAACCTATTGGCTCTTTGCAGCAAACTCTCCCTATCTTGGGAAAGCTATAAGCTATGGATGCTTATAGCTTCACTCGAAATAGTCAGCCACACTTTTCCCTTGAGTAAGAAATTTGATTCTACTTTCAGGAAAAACAGTTCAGTTCAGGATTTGAAACTTCCGTTGTCTTGGAAATGAAGTTCCAGCCCATCCATATTTAAAGTGAAAGCAAAGTTAGAGGAAAATAACTTTGAAGTAATACATAAACCCAGGAGTTCCCAACCAGAGGTGGGTTTCAGCAGGTTCTGACCAGTTCTGGAGAACTGGTAGCGGAAATTTTGAGTAGTTCAGAGAACGGTAGTAAAAATTCTGACTGGCCCTGCCCCTATCTGTTCTCTGCCTCCCAAATCCCAGCTGATTGCGTGGGAACGGAGATTTTACAGTATCCTCCCCTGCCACGCCCACCAAGCCACATCCACAGAACCAGTAGTAAAAAATTTTGAAACCCGCCAGTCCCCAATCTCTGGGCCATAGTCTACTAACCTGCCCACTATTTGCACAAGTTGAGCTGCGCGCACATGCGTATTTTCCCCAGCTGGGCCAATTGCAAAGGTTGGGGACCACTGCATAAACCAATTATTTGAAAATGGCATCTCCCCCATATAAAGGAGAGGCTGGACAGAGATTGACAGAAACATAGAAAACCGACAGCAGAAAAAGGCCTAGTGGTTCATAAAGTCTGCCCCTTGAGGTTTTTTAAATTTTTATTGTTTTAATGTTTGTTGGATGATGGGCATGTGTTTATCCCAAGCATGTTTAAACTCATTTATTGATGTTTGACTCACTATTGCCGCTGGAAGTTGGCTCCAAGCTTCCATTATTGTTTCTGTGAACTAATACTTTCTAAGATTACTTTTGAATTTCCCTCCTGTCAGTTTAAGTTTATGCCCCTGGTATTTTTGATTTTTGCAAAAAATTTAATTTTTGATCTACGCATTAAAAAGCAATCCAGTAAACCCCCTTTTCCCAAAACTTAAAAATACAAACTCTAGGGCTCAGAAAAAGAGAACTGAGGTAAGGAGCTGTAAGCTCTCCTTGGTGCAGTATGTATGCTAGATATACTAAAAGCAGTCCTTTGGATCCACATTTTTCCATAAAATTCAAAGCAATAATACATATTCTTTCAGTATACATTCACCTACAATCCAGGGCACATGAAAAGCAGAATTAGTAGGAAACAATGATGTATTTTTGGTGAAGACTTATGTCCAAGTACTCATTAGTTTATAACAGAGAAAGTTTATTTTTAAAACCAACATTTGCATTGTGAAATTCTACAAGAAGGAGTATTGGCTTAAAGTCACATTTAAATATCTAAGGTTGTATTTTAAATTCTATGTACAGCAAATCAATTTTTGTACAATGGTTTTACTTAAGAATAAACATTTTTAAAAGTTCTTTATAGAATCTGTATTTGTTTGAAAATGTGCTGTTTGTACATAGAGTCAGGACCTTTGTATTAGGATCTCATAGTCTTAGCAAATCTTACTTCAAAATGTCCTATACAGAATGCTGAATTGCTTTGTGTCCTTTATAAGAAATGCTGGAAAAAAAATAAAGATCAGCACAAGTTTCCAACAGTTCAAAAGGGAAAGGGAAGTTTTTTGTCTAAAACATGCTCTGAATTAGGCAACACTCATATCCTACACACATGGCAATGCCATTAAATATCTTTCTATTTCACAATCCACATAGTGGAAAATATCTCTTGTAGCTCAGATATCATATTTTAACAATCACTCCCAAAAAATGAAGCCTGGGGATATGATGCAGTGTAATGTGCTAATATAAGATGGCATATTAGACTGGTATCTGTGAGGTTAGGAAGCATTTTGATGAGAGATTAGATATAGAGAAAATGGTGTTTTATCATGCAGATACTGTAATATGGATGCTATCTGGTTATAGACCTATTGGCTGAAGTGTCTAATGAAAAAGGTCTGTACCCACAGCTGTTCTGTAAATTATTACTGCATTAACAAAAAAAATAACTCTGTTATTGCTGTGACTTCGAAAAACAAATCATTTTTATATCTGTGTTTAATGAGGTGGTATTTGGAAGCTTCCTGATCCAGTCTGTGTTCCCGGAATATAGATATATATGTGGTTATGCTATAACATTATAATAAAGTATCATTCGCTGTAATGTTGGGGAGAAGCAAAAAAGAGACTGTACCATAAAGACCAGATAATGCTTGAAAGATGGTTGATTATAGACCAACGATTAACAGTTTAATGAGGCAGAAATGTCACCTGGTGCCTTCTGTACAACCACATAATTATCACTGTTTTAACGAAACTCAGAATTTCTTCCAGTCTTGGAGCACATTCTTGCTTCTCTTTTCCATATAAAAAAATGCAACTAGGCATAAAGATCAGGTTGAAACTACAATCCATTTGGTTCCCACATAAATTCCCAATTAATTGGGAAGGTTTTTTTCCTGCTGTTCTTCTAATACCACTTGTTCGTCAACAAATATTTCAGCCCAGAAGGCTACATCAGATACCAGACTGGAGATACACATACACATACACACAGCAACACTGCTTAAGTGTGCTATCTTCTTGTCTGTAAAAAAGCAACAGTATTTCACAGAAGCTGGCATCATCAGTAATCTGTAACTTTGCTGTATCTATTAGACTACCAGCACTATAGTAATTAAAAGATATAGCATTAACACCACTTTAGGAGATCACTAGTCAGCTTTGGCGATACACTCCAAGGAAGAGGTAGGGCAGATTCTCTTCCCTAGTGGAACTTCATGGATATTATGATTTCCAAGATGCCAGCTATGCATGTTAAGAAAGCTGGCTACCTGAATGTCACAGACAGTCTCACTGAGTCACATTCTGTATATATTCAACCACAATTTAAGGGTCATGCTGGCTGGGGGAATTCTGAGAGTTAAAGTTGAATCTTAAGGTTGCTAAGTATTGAAAAACATTGGTCTAGCTAACCCTAACCTTCACAACTTTCAGAAAAAGTGCAAATATATATATATAGCTGGTATATTCTGTCCTCTCCTTTGTCTTAAGTGACTAAGAGTGATGTGTAATGGCAGGAATCTGACTGTCTGAAAATAGAACTAGAATTCTCTAGTAAGATAATGCATCTGTCATGATCACAGCATGGAAGCAGCATTTATTTAGCCAGATTCACATTAAAAACTATTCATTATCTTAACTTCTTCCAAATTCCACTCGTGACAGGTTGAAGAAAATTGGGAAACATCAGCAAAATTATTTAGGATTTTCCCTGAAAATTTTAAATCTATGATATTTGGACTTAAAAATGGTTATTGCAATGCTTCACTTTCTGTATGAACTTACAATGTTGGACAGTGTGTGGCTATGGAAGGGATGCATATATAATAATTGTCAACATACATATTAGACAAGTTGACTTTAAAGAATAACTGTGCAATTAAGATTTAATATTTTCATATATGCTTGCAGACAAACTGAAAATTTCAGGTGCCAATTCACCCCCAAAATTTGGGTTTATCCATGGATAGTACCCAGAGGTACTCTGGTAAGTTTTCCCCTCCAAATTTTTAAAGTACTAGTGTATATATCCCTATATAAGCCCATCTGCAAATAAGCAGGCCCTCAAATATTTATGTAAAATGTCATTTTAAAAAAGGGCCACCCATGGGTAAATCAATTGTGAAAATTAAAACAAATCAAAATTTCAAGTGTCAGTTTATCCATAGGTGGGACATTTTACATTGTATTTTAGTGTGTAGCAAAAATATTTCAGGCCCAGCTAGTGCTCCTTCAGCTTGCGCAATGGGGTTGTCTGATGACTTTCTCCTCCATACAATCAGATCAATTAAGAAAGCAAGGAGAAAGGAGAAAAAAACTTCATCCCTCCTTTCTATACTTCTATAGTAGAGGAAGCTTAGACAACCCCAACAATTGTGGCATGCAAGCAGCAGTCACCTTCAATGGGAGATGGTACCTTGAAAAATGGATTGATATCCAAGCAAAAAATTCAAGGGCCATATTATCAGCAGATGGGTCTATAGAGGTTATATACAGTATTGAAAGATACTGTTGGCTTGAGAAATGCAATCAGAAATAACATTCAAAATATTCAAGGGGGCGGTGTATACATCACTTTTCTTTCTCTCGTTCATTTTTCTGCCTTCCCTGTTTGTCTTTCCTTCTTAGCTCTGTTAAATAGCTTTAAAGTGGCTATTTAATGCCCAAATGAAGGTGATAACATGCAAGCTTCCTTCTCCATCACAATGGCACTTGCTGCAATTGACTTAATTCCTTTTCACATTTTCCTCAAAACGTAACTAAATGTGAAAAATGCCTCCAAATCTACAACAGATACTGCTACTGATGATCATTCAATGGCACAGATTCAAGTGCAGAATCCCAGGACGGGAGCAATTAGTGTATTACTAAGCCTAGGATATACTCCAAATGATTTACTTTCAAAGCTGAAGTTCACACCTACAGAGGAGTAACACATACTGTTTGTTGCAATTCTCTTTGATTCATGTCCCATTTGGACATACCTAAAGAGGTTAAGATGCCTGGTTTAAAGGAAGAAATGCACTGGTGAGCAGACTATCCTCCATGATCCCTTCTAGTCCAAGTCTATGGATATACAGCGGCATTCTTTAACTCGGGTGATCCTTTTTTTCTTGATTGGAGGTTGCATTTCTGGGCAGGACAGTGTAACCACCATGGTGGTGAATTTCTTTGGTTTGCAGAATGAACACGATTGGAAGGAGCCTTCTTCCCTATGGATATGCCTTGGGATATAGAATGAATTGCACTGACCATAACAGAATCTATTAATGATGGTTTGGCTTCTGCAGCCTTCCTCTTGGATCGTTTGCTTAAGCGGCTGTGTTTTGCACCAATCCCTTTTCAGATACTTTCGTTCCGTGACATGCAATGCCTCTTGGCTTGATTCCAGCACCTCTTCAGTAGATTTGGCCTTCTCCTTTCCCCGGGGTCTGGAGCCTGGTTGTGGGGGCGGCTGCTGGGTCTGTTCAGAATCATTGGGCTGGGCTTTGTCAGGAGAAGGGATGGTTCCTTGTGATCCACGGTTCCTCTTGCTGCCCTCTGCTGAGGGCAGGAGAAGACTGAACAGAAGGAGGACACCAAGAGCAGAAACTGTGCGAGCCATTCTAAGAATACAAAAAGGAATATTATCAGGTTGTTTTCTACCAATCAAAAAGTACATCCAAAGCTGCAAAAAAGATTTTCTGCGCTAGAGAAATTCAGAACTGGACTGAAACTTAATCTATTTATACTATGCTTACTAACAACAATAGCATCAAGTTAATATACTGGACTTTATTATTTGACTCAAGTCAGTGGTACAAATTTTGAATGCTTACATGAATGGATTGTAGCAAATAAGTGTTACATTAAGTGTTCCAAAAACAAGGTTACTTTATTCACCCAGGTCCTTTATTTACATTTTAAAAATGTAAATAAAACCCAGGTAAGAAAGCAAATAGAAGTTCAAATATTTCATGAAAATATTTTAAATGAAGCTCAGTGCTTTCACACTAAGATCCTCCATGAGATTTTAAAATTTCTTTCATTTCTTTAAAGTTCTGCAAAGGAAATTTCGTTCCCACCTTTTTTCCCCACTGCATACAGTATCTAGATTCAGACTCAGTGGTGAAATTCAATTTTTTTTACTACCGATTCTGTGGGGGTGGCTTGGTGGGCGTGGTGTGGCTTGGTGGGCATGGCAGCCCACCAAGGCACACCACACCAGGGGAAGGATACTGCAAAATCTCCATTCCCACCCCACTCTGGGACCAGCCAGAGGTGGTATTTGCCAGTTCTCCAGACTACTCAAAATTTCCACTACCGGTTCTCCAGAACCCGTCAGAACCTGCTGGATTTCACCCCTGTTCAGACCTCATATATTGGATTTGCAGTAACATAATTATCACTCAACACACTTAATTGTTAGTCTCAATGACAGGATACATTGAATACAGCTCATCTGTCTGGAACCTGCACTGCATATCGGACATAAATACAATTGAGAGAGTCCAGAGATATTTTACGAGAAGAGTCGTCCATTCCTCTAACCGCAATACCTTATGCCACCAGACTCCAAATTTTGGGCTTAGACAACTTAGAACTATGCCAACTTCAGTCTTACCTAAGCATAGTACATAAAATTATCTGCCACAATGTCCTTCCTGTCAATGACTACTTCAGCTTCAACCACAACAATACACGAGCAAATAATAGATACAAACTCAAGGTAAACCGTTCCAAACTCGATTGCAGAAAATATGACTTCAGCAACAGAGTGGTCAATGCCTGGAATGCACTACCTGACTCTGTAGTTTCTTCCCCAAACCCCCAAAACTTTAACCTTAAACTGTCTACCTAAGAGGTCTGTAAGGGGCGTGCATAAGTGCACCAGCGTGCCTACCGTCCCTGTCCTAATATTCCTTTTTACTTACTTGACAAATAAACTTATGATTATGATCACGAGAAGGGATTTGCGGTTGAAGAAAATGGATTTCAAAAAAACGTAGAAACTCATTTTTTAGAAAAATGAGTTAAAGAAAAACAAAAGTAATACTAGGTACCTATTATACAGGGGGGCCCTAGAGAAATTGAGAGCCAGACTGCATGGACGATTAATATAGTTGATTTTTAAAAAATATTATTTTCCAATTCACAGTATGGAGTTGCGGACAAAATGGACAAACAGGATTAGGATGATGGCATGTTTTTGTTCTCACTGCAATAGATTGTGGCCCTTCTGGTGCTGGCTCAGATTAGGATTCTATGAAGAGCAAAACGATTTAACCTTTTCACATATACATTACTTAGATCTGTTGGGAATCTGAGAAAGGAAAAATATATTTCAAAGAATAAAACATTACATATTATATTTAGTTTGGGTCCTACATCACACAACTCCAACAGGAACCAATGACCAATGTAGCATTAAATCAAGTAATGAAAGAATGCCACTATAGTTAACAGATTTCCATAATATTGGAACATCTTCCCCTAGGAAAATGCAGAAGGAAAACAAAAATGTGCTCACCAAGCCTACTTACTTGAAGATGAGTTGTCTTTGAATAAAACTCATTTAGACAAAACAAGTTCAGGTCATTAATTTAAGAGAAATATTGCTACAATAAAATAAAGTATAACTTCTAGTTAAATGCAATTTAGTTTCTGAACACAACATATTTAAGAATCTAAACCAAAGGGTAAAATTAATGTTTATTCTAGTACTGTCGCATTTTGCATTTCTTGGCCTCCAGTCAGGCTAGGCCATAATTTTCCTATTACTTTACATGTTTCTTTTAGGATGTAATTACTTAATTTTGTTTTAGAAATTTCAAAACTTTTGTTTTCTCAGATCAACATGGGCCAAAATAGTCTACATGTAGGCTTTGGCAACTACCGTACTCCTAAATTATAATTGGCAAGTAATGTTAAATCCTTATGGTGCTCTGTAGAAAACCCCCAATTTTTTTAAAAAGGGGGGGTTCAATTGGTAGCTTTTAACACTCCTAACCTGATTTATATGACATCAGACCCCAAGCCAGATGGCTTTTCTTTAGTTAAAAAAAACAGGTTGCATTTATTTATGTTAAACAAAGAAGCATAAACTCTGACAGATTCCAAAAGGACAGAGCGAGATATGACAAAAATAAGAGACAAGACTGAGATAAACAACAAACTGTATAAAGAGATTCTCTGTAGAAAAAGAAAGATCTAGGAAATAAAACCGAGGACACATATATGATTTAGCAGGAATTGACATAATCAATTAAACGAACCCTAAGATACCTGACAAGCCCCAAAATTCCCCGATGACTTTAATACCACATCCCCAGTTACCCAGAATTTGGCCAATTCTTAAGATCTAGAATAAGCATGAGACTTCAGATGAAGTAGTCAATGGAATTCTAGTTCCATTAAATTAACTTCTCCAGTAAGTTTTACGGGCTTTAGCAATAGTAGTTAGACTTATATACCGCTTCACAGTGCTTTACAGCCCCCTCTAAGTGGTTTACAGAGTCAGCATATTGCCCCCAACAATCTGGGTCCTCATTTACTAACGCACACCCACCCACCTTCTTTTTTGGACACATTTTGTGAAGTCCTGGCTCTCTGAAGAAGATTCTAACACTAGGTAAAGTGGTAGAGAAATAGAAGATGATGACAAGCACCAAGGTGGATAGACTAAGTGACAGCAGAGATAAGTACACTATTCGTAGATCCAAGAGACCAAATTTGGGACAGATCATCATAGAGAAAGTCTATCTATGTGGTTCAATAATGTCAATAATGACTTGGTGGTCAATAATGACTTGATGACATATAATCATCAATCAACATTAACTGTTGAAAGCTAGTTTGGGGTAGTGGTTCAGATAGTCGATTAAAGGCCAGAAAGTTGAGTTCTAGTCCTGCTTTAGCCACAAAGCCAGCTGGTTGATCTTAGCCAGTCACTTCTTCTGACTTTAGTTAGAAGGAACTGGCAAGTTGCTTTGGAAAAATGCTGCCAAGAAAACTGCCTGGGAAATTAAAACTAACCTGAAGGCATAATTTTTCCTCCACTTCCAACAGATCTACAGCTGATTGGGCAACAACCTGACTTCACATCTGCTGCTAGCCTCATGTCTTCAGCAGCATCCCCACCCAGGGACCACCTCCCTATTCACCCCCACCTAGATTTAAACCAATATTTTTATTAGTTGTTATTAATCCTCCCTATTTGAATCAGTCTTTAATATGAATCTAATATTTATTTATTTATTTACATATTTTATTAAATTTCTATACCGCCCTTCTCCCGAAGGACTCAGGGCGGTGAACAGCCACAAGATAAAACACATAAATACAAAAATTTAAAATAAATTAAAAACGAATTAAATAATTTGGCTGAATTTAAAATATCCCATAATTTAAAAACAGATTAAAATTTACATTTAAAAAGGGGAGAAGATTTAGGCCAGGCCAGCTTGATGAAATAAAAAAGTCTTAAGTGCGCAACAGAAGGTGCGCAGATCCGGGATCCTCCGTATGTCCGGGGGGAGCTCGTTCCAGATTGTAGGTGCCCCCACAGAGAAGGCTCTCCCCCTAGGGGCCGCCAGTCGACATTGTTTGACCAACGGCACCCGTCAGCCAAACAATGGGAGCGTACTCTATGGGAGTGTACCGGCCGGTGGGAGGCTATTGGTGGTAGCAGGCGGTCCCGAAGATAACCAGGTCCTAAGTCAAGTAATATACACTATATACACATCTATATATACATTTCTCTTTAGCCAGGTTCTTCCTACGTAAACCAAGATTTCATGGTTTACGTAGGAAGAACCTGGCTAAAGAGAAATACACATAAAGCCTACGAAAAGAAAACAAATCTATATATACCCTATATATACTATAGGGACACAGTGGCTCAGTGGCTAAGATGCTGAGCTTGTTGATCATAAGGTCAGCAGTTCAGCAGTTTGAATCCCTAGTACCGCGTAACAGGGTGAGCTCCCGTTACTTGTCCCAGCTTCTGCCAACCTAGCAGTTCGAAAGGTCATAAAAAATGCAAGTAGAAAAATAGGGACCACCTTTGGTGGGAAGGTAACAGCGTTCCGGGCATCTGGCGTTTAGTCATGCCGGCCACATGACCATGGAAACATCTTTGGACAGCGCTGGCTCTTCGGCTTTGAAACGGAGGTGAACACTGCCCCCTAGAGTCGGGAACGACTAGCACATATGTGCAAGGGGAACCTTTACCTTTATCTTAATATACACTCAGTCTTGCAAACTGCGATAGATTTACATTGAGAATGGGAAAGGGAAGAGAAATATTGTATTTTGTATACAATCTCCAACATTGAACCAAAAAAGGAATCCTTCCAGTTTAGCTTTGCTTCTATTCTAGCCTGATGACCTGGATTGTTCACAGATAGGATACAATTGAGTTGTTCTCATCAGTGTATGTTACAAATTTGCCAAGAAATGCAGTGATACGATCATCTTTTATTTTGCTTGACATCAAAGTCAGAGAACACAATATCAGTGATTATCTATCTATCTATCTATCTATCTATCTATCTATCTATCTATCTGACATTTTAGAGAATATACATTAACAGGAAGAAGAAAAGAAAATACAAGAGTAGAATGC